TTTTATTTTTTTCCCTGTATATAGGTTTATTTGCTGGCAGAATGCCATAGGCTTGGTTTGTTAGTCTGTTAGAATCTTTTCTGTATATATGCACGTTGCTGTGCATCATTCTGAGAGGACTATTTTACTGAATAGAGGAATCATTTTCCAGCCATCGTTTTGCTCTCTCTGTTTCCTTTGTTTGCTGTTTCCTTACATGGTATCAAAGCTACCGAGAGTTTTTTTCCCATGGCAACTTCTGATTCTGATTCCTCCAAATCCCACTATGACCACAAATCAAACACCTTCTCTCCCTACCTCAACCTTCTTGAGCCGGTGAACCCTTATCGCCTTGACCATGGTGATAATCCCGCTCTAACCCTTGTCTCTGATCTTCTCTCAACAGATAACTATGCCACCTGGTCTCGCTCCATGCATCGATCTCTCCGTGCCAAAAACAAATTAGGATTCATCAATGGAACCCTCTCCAAACCTAAACACCCAGATGATCCTTTACTTGAGCTCTGGGAGCGTTGTAACGACATGGTCGTTTCTTGGCTCCACAATTCGATCAGTCCATCTCTTCAATCTAGTGTTCTATTTGTTGATAATGCACAAGACATCTGGTTGGATCTTGAAGCATGTTTTTCTCACCAAAATGGCCCCTGTATCTATCAGTTAAAAAAGGCAATGGCTGCTCTCCTTCAAGAACATGATTCGGTAAGCACTTACTTTGGAAAATTAAAATCTCTATGGGATGAGCTCTCTGTGTACGATCCTTTTCCTACTTGTAAGTGTGGTGCCATGAAAACCTTGTTGGATCACTACCAGCGAGACTGTGTGCTTCAGTTTTTAATGGGTCTTCATGACTCCTATTCCCCCATTCGTGACCAGATCATGCTTCTGGATCCCCTTCCCCCTGTTTCAAAAGTCTTTTCTCTTGTGTAGCAGTAAGAACACCATCACAAAATTACTTCCCATACCCCATCCACCGAAACCATGGCCATGGTTGTCAAGAAACCATATACACCATACAAATCTTTCCCCAAACCGAACCATCCCTCCAAGAAAGATCGTCCATATTGTAGCCATTGCAAAATCCCCGGCCACTCCTTTGAAACATGCTTCAAAGCTGGCAATGCTGAGCCCTCCCTTTGATCACATTGTAACTTAACTGGGCATACCATTGAAAAGTGTTACAAACTCCATGGCTACCCTCCAGGCCACAAATACCACACTAAACAGCAACTATCTCCTGCCTTTCTTGCTAATAAGACTGCTCTCTCTTTTGCTACTGACCCTAAAGATAAGGGTGATGACAAGTATGGTCTGACCAAGCAACAATATCAGCATATCATAGCACTGCTCCATCCTCAGGAATCTCCAATTGCAGCTTCTGCTGTTCATTCCAGCAATCCACCTTCAATTCGTATAGAGATGTCTGGTATTCCCCTTTCTTTATCTACACACACAAACATTTTCAATCCTGACCCATCCATCAGTTGGATCATTGACACAGGCGCTACAGACCATATGGTTTGTAGCACCTCTTTCTTCACCTCTATTACTTCCACTGTTTCTTATTTTGTTAAACTCCCAAATGGCATGGGAATTCAGCACCTGTTACACACATTGGGACCATTCACTTATCCGATTCCATTATTCTTACAGATGTTCTATGCGTTCCTTCTTTTTCATTCAACTTAATTTCTGCAAACAAACTAACTGTTCAACTTCATTGTTGTTTGTTTTTCTTTTCTACTCACTGTTTTATACAGGACCTGCTTGCATGGAGAACGATTGGAACGAGTGAACTCCGGCATGGCTTATATCATTTCAGTTGCAAGGAAGTTCTTCCCTAAGCTCTCACAAATTACCTTTCGGCTTTCCCTTCCACAAGACATACTCCTTTTACTTGTTTTTCTTCTGTTACAAACTCTGTTTCTAGCATAGATCTTTGGCATTGTCGCCTAGGTCACATATCTCATTCTAGGTTACATTTAATTTTTGATCCTATTGTACACAGACAGAGTTCATCCATTAATACAAATTCTTGCAGAATTTATCCCTTAGCGAAATTTAACCGTCTACCTTTTCCTGTGAGCTCACATTCATCTTCACATATTTTTGAATTAGTTCATTGTGATATATGGGGACCTTGCTCCCAAATCGCACATGATGGTTCACATGAAGAAATTTACATGAAAAAGCCCCCGGGATACACTAAGGGTTCTCCAACTCAAGTTTGTAAGTCGCTTAAGAGCCTTTATGGCCTTAAGCAAGCATCACGGCAATGGAGCTCTAAGCTTACATCTTCTCTTCTTGGCTTTGGTTTCACCCAATCCAGATCTGATTATAGTTTATTCACCAAGCATGATGGAGACACTTTTATAGCCTTGCTGATTTATGTTGATGATTTCCTAGTTGCTAGTAATTCCACTGCTGCTATTGCCTCTCTCAAAACTTTTTTGAATAGCAAATTCAAGATTAAAGATCTTGGTACTCTTCGCTATTTCTTGGGTCATGAAATTGCTCGAATCTACTAAGGGTATTCATCTTTGTCAACGCAAATATGCGTTGGACATATTAGCTGATTCGGGTATGCTTGGTTGCAAGCCTCTCAAACTTCCAATGGATCAACATTTTAAGATCAGCAAATCTGAAGGCACTCCATTACTTGATCCCAGCATTTTTCGAAGATTAATTGGTCGCTTGTTGTACCTTACCATAACCCAACCAGACATCTGTTTTGCTGTCCAATTACTCAGCCAATTCATGGATCAGCCCTCTTCATCTCATTTAGCTACTGCATACCACATTTTGAGATACATTAAATCTGCACCAACTCAAGGCCTTCTACTCTCCTCTACATCTCAGCTTCAACTTCAGGCCTACTGTGACTCAGATTGGGCCTCATGCCCCGACTCTCATAGATCCACAACCGGATATTGTGTCTTCTTGGGCCAATCCCTTATTTCTTGGAAGACCAAGAAGCAATCAGTTGTCTCAAGATCTTCCGCTGAAGCTGAGTATCGCTCTATGGCAGCAACTTGTTCTGAGCTTACATGGCTCTGATTCATCCTCCAAGATCTTGGCATTTCTCATCCTCAAGCAGCCACTTTATTTTGTGATAACCAGGCAGCTTTACACATCGCTGCAAATCCAGTTTTTCATGAAAGGACCAAGCACATAGAGCTTGATTGTCACCTCATTAGAGACAAGATTCAAGATGGAAGCATCATTACTGCCCATGTCTCCTCTCAATCTCAATTAGCCGATACTTTCACCAAACCACTGCCCTCTTATCTCTTACAAGCTCACTTATCCACGATGGGAATAGTAAATTACTATTCTCCATCTTGCGGGGGGGTGTTAAATGATAAAGGATAAGCTTCTAGTCGTTTACTTGTATTGTTGATTGTCGTTTTTACCCTGTTCTTATTCTTTTTTTCTTTTTTTTTTCCCTGTATATAGGTTTATTTGCTGGCAGAATGCCATAGGCTTGGTTTGTTAGTCTGTTAGAATCTTTTCTGTATATATGCACGTTGCTGTGCATCATTCTGAGAGGACTATTTTACTGAATAGAGGAATCATTTTCCAACCATCGTTTTGCTCTCTCTATTTCCTTTGTTTGCTGTTTCCTTACAATAACTGCTAATCTTGTTGGTAATTTATCAATGTCATTCAAGGATTAAATTTATATAAAGTTTCCTTCCACATAAATGCCAGATTGTTGATTGCACTTCTTCTTACAGATTCCATTTCCAGCCGTAGTAAGAAAAGTCCAAATGGTACGATTGTGGGAATTGTTTTAGGTGGTTTTGCATGTTTTATATGTGTTTTGGCTGCTGTTTATATCATTCGAGTGAGGAGAGGACGACAATCCAAGGAAAATATAGGTAAATGAAAAAATTGTCTTTGTATTTATAAAGGATAAAGGATAAAGGGTCAGGATTAAGTTACATGGAAATCTTTTTTTTTTTTTTTTTTTTTTTTTTTTTTTTTTTAAATTATATTTCATGCTCAAGAGCATATTTATTTATGTTCAGCTACTGATGAAAGTGACGAATTTGTATCATGATATTGCAGAGCTCAATGGACTAGACGATGCTAAACCATATACTTTCAGTTACCGTGAATTAAGGGCCACCACAGAAGAATTTAACCCTACCAATAAGCTTGGAGAGAGAGGATTTTGACCGGTTTATAAGGTAGTTCATTATCCTAATTCAGATAAACTGTGGAAATTGTTTTTCTCAAAGTTTTTGGGTGAGAAAACGTAGTTACGCCAAACCTTGGGTGGGAAATTATCGTTCCCCCGTCAAATGGGCAGAACGTGGCTCGGGCGTGAGTATACAAGATATGGGAAACACTGAGAACACTGACACTGACGGCCATGGCCGACCGGATGCTGTCATTCCGTGCTGTCATGGATGACGCCACCAGCTGGTGTAAGGGATGAGAGTTTGACACTGCTCACATCCTCATTAGATAAAGGAAAATAATAGAGACACAGGGAGTAGTGCACCGAATTTGTGCACTGAATGACGTGGCTCAATCCTGACCATCGATTAATTATAATTTAATATTAATCGACTGTCAGGATTGAGTCACGTCATTCGGTACACAAATTCGGTACACACTCCTAGTGACTGTAGCATTGCTCTTATATAAAATTATTGAAAAAGACATACGTTGTAATGGGTACGTCTCACATTCATCTTATTTGCTTTTGTATATTGGAAAACGGTTTGGTTAAGGAGTCAACTTGCTATAAAAGCAGAGTAAAACTAAATAAAATAATGAAATTTCCATAGCAATTTAATCACAGAATTACCTTTTCCTACTCTGCTTCTTGTGCAATGTACGAGCAGTAACTACCAGAAAGCAATTGAGAACAATGCAGCTTGAGGAACATTAGCATCAGCGCTTCTCTGATGGGGAGGTTAAGTTTATCACTATTCACTAGCGTGTTCAGTTGTTCTTGGACTCTTGTTGAACTTTTATGGTAACATAGTTCTTATTTCAACACTCAATAAAATGGTAATGGGGTGCTCATCCATGAAAATATAGTTCTCATTAATCTAAGTCATCATGATCTAACACTATCAGGCTCCATAGATGTGACCGCTACAGCATTTTCTGAGCACAGTTTTACAGTTGAAAATGAGCCCCCAAAGCCAGTCAGTCACAAATAAATGGATGGTGGGTACTCTCTTCTTCTTGATGTCTCATCTCCTAAAACGAAATCAGAACCAACAAGGTTTGTCAATACAAACTACAAACTCAAAACCTAAACTACTTGTCACCAGAAGAATTTCAAGTTAATTACCTGTTCTTGAATAAATGTACGTATGATTAGAGGTATTGGAACAAATGTGATATGACAGGAGCTCTTCCACAGAAACATCTATTTTCCATGATTCTGTGGGACACCTTCAAAAGCTCATTCGAGGCGACTTCTCAAGATCCATGCAAAAATGCAGCAAGACTATAAGTTTTGCATTCCAGTGTTGACAATTCATTCATTTTGCTCGTTATAGATTTTCACAGGTAGCACTATATAGACTAAATCAAAACTGTTTGCATAGCTAACCAGAACAGAAGGTTAATTGATTAGTTTCAAATCTTTTTACTTCACTCTTAAGCTCCTGCTAATTTGCTTTTGATTCTGTGCAAAACGTCTTGCCATAGAAGGATTGTAGAACTTCCTCATATGCTCTGAAAGTTTGTGGATGGCTTTAAGATTACCATTCACTGAAAGCTGCATCAGGAAAGAGTCAAATTTCCGGTATGGCAATTTTAATCCCCTGTCCGCAACTTCTTCCAACAGAAAGCATGCTTCTTCCACTTTGTTGCAATCAAAAAGCCCATCAATCATTACACAATAAGTATCAGTGTCCTGTGCACAGCCTCTCTTATCCATCTCATGCCAAGTCTCCAATGCGCCATCAGGTTCACCCAGCTCAAAAAACATTGAAATTAGCATATTATAAGTCTGTACACTGGGAAAACAACCGACTTCAATCATTCTTTCATAAAGCCTTAGCGCCTCCTCGCTCTTTTTATTGTCACAGAGGACCTTGAGAAAACAGTTATAAGTAACTATATCAGGAGGGAAACCTTTGTTGCCCATCTCTTCCAAGAACTTGTAAGCTTGCTCAACCTTCCCGGCCAAACACATCCCTTCAATAAATTCCTTGTATGTTGTAACATCAGGAAGGCAACCACTGTCAATCATATGCCCCAAAAGCTTAAAGCATTCTTCCATTCTATCATTCTGTACAAGGGCCACAATCATGATTGCATAAGTTTTCGCGGTTGGAGAAGAAATAGTTGAACCTTTTGTTCTCATGAACTCAAAAAGTTCAGCAGCTTCCGTCACCATCCCTGCTTTGCAAAAGGTATCAATGGCAGTGTTGTAAGTAAAATTATCAGGGGTATGACCTATTTGAATCATTTCTTCAAGTACCTTCATTCCTTGTTTAGGGTCTCTAACCCTACACCATCCAAAAAACAAAATATTATAGGTATTACCATCAAGTTTAATCTTGTTCTTCACCCTCTTACACATAGCCTCAGCATACTCAACAAGGCTACATTTACATAAAGCATCTAACAGCAAGTTAAAAGCATTAATCTCCGGCTGTGTCTTCACCCTTATCTTCTTCTTCTTAGCGAATTTCTGAACATGAGTCAAATGCTTTTCTGTGTATCGTCTCAAAATCAATAACAACACATCAACCGGAACAACATTCTTCTCATTCCTCTTCATGTATTCTAACATATCACAAATTATCCGAAACTGTTTCACCTTATACTTAGTACTAGACAGTATATCCATCATAAGATTATATGCTTTCGCCTCATGAGCATAATTCTCCTGCTGACCAGCCCACATAAAGAATCTAAATGCTATTTTCTCCTCAAGATGAAACCTTTGAAGAACCTCAACAACAGAATCAGTGCTCAACTCAACTCCAACACTATCCAGTGCTTTCTCCATTTTATCGTACCCATTACAATTTTCCACAATAATTTCATACAACTTAGAAACATCACTCACCAAACCCTTGTTTTTAACTTCGCTTTCTTCACATTCACAATCAGAAGTTTGACCTAATGAACTAGGCAGAATTTGTGAACAAAATAAACGCGGATCAAAGGGGGGCAATTTGAGAAAATATAAGCCTGGGTTTGTTACTAATGGTCTTTCGCTACAAGATGAAGCATTAAATATTGGATTCTCAATAAGTGCTCTAACGTTTGCGTAGCTTGAGGAGGATAAAAACTGGATCTTCTTTGCAGAAAATAAATATGGGAAAAGCCTCCTCATTAGGCAAAATATGAAATTAAAAGCTGGCTTGAGAGTGCGAATACTTGTATTGATTGAAATGAATCGGTAAAGCAAGTTTTAATGGCGTTGAAGGAGAGGAAGGAGAAGGGTTACTCACTTGAAGCTCGGCTGCCTGCTTTACGCTGAAGACGACACAGTGCGAAAAACTCTTTTGGGGGTAAATTGAAAAGATTTAAGACTTTAGTAAAGTGGATAATGATAATAAAGCCTCTTTAGTTATTCTACTAAAAAGATATCCCCATTGTTTGAAAAATTACAAAAAGTCCCCTATAATTATAAAGTGAATCATTAGTACAATAAAATTATAAACTCCCTAGTTTTGTACCAGTAAATTGATTTGTTTATAAGATACAGTTCTAAAATTTGAGTTATAGTTTCGATACATTAAATGTACTAATAAGGTTATATGTACAGTGAGTAGGGGTGGGTAAAAAATAAGGGTAGAACCGAAACCGACGGGTACCTGTGATTTCGGTTCAGATTCTAAAAAATAAAAACTGGTACTGTGTGGTTCCGATTCTGATTTCATCACTGCAGGAACCGAAACTAATACTATGTGATTTCAATTCCGGTTCCACCACTATAGAAATTAGAACCGAAACCGAAACCGAGACTAAACTATAAATTTTATAAACTTTTGGGGGTGTCTTGGTAATTTTTTGTGCATGTATTTGTCATGTTTGTGAATAGTAGGGGGTAATGAATTTTTGCAAGTACCCAGAACCCAAACCGAAACCTGTGTTTCAAGTTCTAATTCCAACTTTTACGAATCGAAACCAGTTGGTTCCGATTCCATATCCTAAGAACCAGCTAGTTCTGGTTCCATGGGATTTGGGTAGCTACTCGAACCCCGCCTACCTCTAAAAGCGAGCGACAATACTTTTGTATTTATGTGTCATTCACCATCATTTTATGTGTATTTAATTATTTATTAAAAAATACAAAATTGTGTTTGTCATAACTTAATATTGTTTTATAAGTGCTCTTAAGTATGGAGAACAAAATAAAGGCATAAAACTTACTATAATTTTGATGCTTCCTATAAGAGATATATAGGAGCTAACCCTTCTCCAAATAGGCAAGCAAACAACCTTTATTTACTTCAAAAGTGTGCCACAAGCATCATAGAGTACAGTACTGACAATCACACAAGAAAATACAACCAGCAATTCGAAGGCCACATAAGGTAAGTTTTACAAGTTCAGCAAGCTCCAGCTCTTCTGCCATCCACAAACCTCTTCCATTGCCTGGTGACCTCCTCTAGAGTCTCTGTCTCACTCTTTTTTGGAAGCTTCCCATCTTGAGTTTCGTTGATCGTGGCAGTAACATGTGCAGCTTTGGTCGATAAGCGACTTGGGAGTGTGTCGATTTCCTTCAAGACTTCCTCAATGTTTGAGAGAAGTCTCTCGGCCAAGTTTCGGCTGAAATCCTCCCTTACCACCACTCGAAGAACCGCGATTTTCTCAGCATTAGGAGGCATTGTGTAGGCTGGAATTATCCATCCAAACCTTCTCAAGTTCTCGGATAACTCGAACACGGTGTGTTTACTGCTGTCCTTTAAAGAAAAGGCCACCAGAGGAACTCCAACATCCTTGGAGACAATCTTAAACCGCCCCATTTTTTCAAGTCCTTCTCTCAGCACTCTTGTACTCTCCATGCAGTTTTCCATGATGTGCTTATAGCCCTTGTTTAGGGAACATTTAAAAGAATGAGCTTAAGATTTTGGAAAAAAGAATAAGTAGTAAATTCTTTCTGGCGAAATGCTAAACTGTATATTACGTTAGAGAAATAGTTAATTGTCATAATAGAAATTTTTTATTCCCAATTAACAAATTGAAGTCACCACTTGATCCTAATGCAAATCATCTTACCGCTTGGTTACAACATCATCTAGACTTTAAATTTATCACTTTTAGGGAAATTAGGAAGACAATTGCATTTATGATGAATTAAACAAGAGAATTTGTTCCTTTTAAATAAGCATGAATTACCTCAAAGCCAAGCCGTATAAACTGGTAATATTGAGCAATTATTTGACTAGAGCCTGCCATATCGGAAAACATATTTGATGAGAGAAGTAAAAAATTGTTAACATTAAAAGAGATTAAACCTCAAAACTACAACTCATTTTGCTAGAGAAAGAATGATTAATTGGAAAAAGTGAATCCGAATTACCTTTGGAGAAGTTGAGGGTAAAAGTGGGTTGATCAGTTCCAAGATAGTTGATATGAAAGATGAGTTCTTCTGGTAGGTCATCTTTGGTCCTCCAGACAACCCAGCCAACGCCAGCATAGACAAGGCCATACTTGTGGCCGCTGACATTGATGCTCTTCACCAGGGGCAAACGGAAATCCCATTCAAGTTGTGGGTATAGGAAAGGAGCAATAAATCCTCCGCTGGCAGCATCAACATGAATTGGAGTCTCCCAACCAGTCTCCTCATTCTTTTTTGTCAGAAGTTCATTAAGAAGCTTCACATTCTCAAACTCACCGGTCAGGGTTGATCCCAGAATGGCTGCTACACAAATGGTGTTCTCATCTACCAACTCGACAGCTTGCACTGGGTCCATGACATAGTATCCCTCTCTCAGCTTCACCTCCTTCAGTTCAACCTCAAAGTATCTTGCAAACTTCTCCCAGCAAACCTGAATAAATTTAGCCAGCAGCATTAAGCATCACATCACTGACAGACCTAAACCTGAGCTGATATCATTATAAATAAGCATTGCTACTATGGAAAACAGAACCTGCTGAAATAAATGGAGATGTAGTGTAGTTCCTTGGAATGGAGATGTCTTGGCCCTAGAGCAATGAGTATTAGAAACTAGAAAAACCTAATAAAAAAAATTTCAGCTCTCTTAAACTCTGGCGTTAAATTTCAACAAGTTAATAAAACCCTTCATATTAACCATCTTGCGAGCAAATTTTGGTTTGGGCAACTCCTCAAGCTAAAAATGCCACTCGCTATTGCGGCAGAACATCAACTCTGTTCATTCATGACACTATAACACCACAAAATGCAAAAAAATCTTTGGATAGATATCACTAATATGACTTAAATGCCCACATGATAACTAGATGAAAATGGATACACTTGGAGATTGAGAGCAAGAAGTATTATGTACAATCTGAAATTTACCTGCACATTAGCTCCAGTGACTATGTTGGGCTTATCATAAGGTTTTCCTTGTGCTTTTCTCCTCTGCTGCCACTTCCTTTTGAAAGCTAAACCAGCCAGCATTATTGCCTCAGATGAACCCACAGTCCCAACACCAATTGCAGTCTCATCATCTCCAACTGGAGCATTAAATAGGTGGGCGATCATATTCACACACCGATTCTGCAAATCAATAATTGATTACCAATTCTTCATAAGTCTAAAAAACTTCACAAGAGAAGATTCCATTAATACATTATGCAACCCTACCCTGTACAGACTGTTAAACGACTGAAGCTCCATATAGAAGTACAACAATCATATACATTCACAATTCTGCAAATAAATAATGGATACCTACACTTCATAGGTCCCAAAATCTTCACGACATAAAATACATTGACAAACTATGCAACACTAGTTCATACAGCTTGTTAAACAATTAAAGCACAAAAACAGAAGTCCAAAAATCATGCAGCTAAAACAACTTCTTACAGGGTCTCAGATGACAATGAAAGAAAATTTGTCAATAAGGTCTTTGCAGAGGTGTAATCCAAAGTCCAAACTAACTTGTTTCAGTTAGGCTTATGCAACATTGGATTCATGGTTGAATGCTGAAGACTGTAGTTGTTGACATGCAACTATTAGTAAGAAAGTAAAACTTTCCTGTGACAGTTTCGTATTCAAGTCTCAAACTCATTACTTGAATAATACAAAACATTTTTCAAAATCATACAATAAATATAAGAAAAAGAAAAGAAAGTATTCTGGTTTAGTTCATGGAATGGAAAATTTGCTGGTAACTTATGAAACTTTATTTAATTCTCAACAATACATACAACTCCTCCGTTGTCGTCCAACGGTTAGGATGTCTGGCTTTCACCCAAGAGACCTGGCAACGGAAAAATTAAAAAAAAAAAATTCTAAACAATTTTCGTTTGTTTTTTTCTTTTCTTTCTCTCATACATCTCAACATCTACTATAATTTTTCATCAACAAATTTCATGTTTTTTCTTTTCTTTCACTCATACAAGTCAACATCTTCTATAACATCATTTTTGTTAGTTTTGCATTAGTGGGAAAGAATCATGCAGAGCAACAAAATTCCAAAGACTGCTTCAAAAACATATTAGAAGCACCGGTAGACAACTTATTAAAGACATTTATATCATTCAAAATTTAAATAGGGGTATCATAGCTGTTCACAGATTACAATTCACAAACACTTTAATATATAGATATTATTATACAATGTGTCCTTAGTTTCCTAACAAAGAGAAGGAGATACCTGAAGCTCTGTGGTAACAGGGTACTCATCCATGTCAACATAGTTCTTATTAACCGAAGCCATGATGAGTTTATCACACTCGGGCTCCATCCACGTGGTCACAAAGGATGCCAAATTCAGCCTTGGATTTCCATCCAGCATCAGCTCATCATTTATCACCTGATATGCTGCTTCCTTTGGAATCGAAGTCTCAGGCATCTTGAATCTATATTCATATGATCACATCCACACATAAGAAATCACATTTAACATTTCTTCCTCCCGTAAAAGGAAAAAAAAAAAAAAATTACTTAATCATTGATGTTTCACCTTAAAAATTATTAGGAAGTCATTGATGTTTCACCTTGAAAATTATTAGGAAGGAAACTAACAAATTATAATAAAATATGAAAAGCTTCTCAGATTAAGAAATTTTTTCCTGTAAATCCAGCTTCGAAAATCTAAATTACATAGTGAACTCCTCGTCCTTTTCTATAATTGATTCATAAATTAAGAAAAAGCAAAAACATTAGATAATAACAATCTTTAAGATAGGTCTTTATTCCTTTTTTGTTTTTCTTCCCCATTTTCAAAGAAAAGATTTGAGTACTAGAAGGGCCTCCAGAATACAAAAATTCTCCACTCTCTCCCCACAATTAAATAAAAAATTCTACACTTTTCATCTTTTCTCTTTAACATGCAAATTATAAGTTCTTTTTTATTACCAATGCTGACAATAGTTTCAAAGATTCATTCAACCCATTTTATTACATCGAAACTATAATTCCAGAATCAATCAACTGGGCAACAGAATCGACGCTGATCAATTCAACATGATGAAGCCTTATGCTCCATTAAACTAATATATTACTTCCAAGATCTCCCTCATCATCTACTAATTAATATTATATATAATAACACTACACCCTAAAGATATAATAGTTAAACCCAGAAATACATAAATCGAAATAAAATATAGCATGATTTTCAAGTATGAGATGCTTAATAAGATTCTGAGGAATCTAGACTTCACAATAATAAAATAAACAATATACTTGATCAAATACTCAAAAGTCTTAATGCCTTAATATACAATTAATAATAAAATAAACTTAACGGCTTATGAAGTTTGCACAACACACAAACTTTCTCAAAGCTCACAATATTTTGACATGAAGGATTCTTTAATCAAAATGTAGAACAATTCTCCATTATTCACTTAAACAACTTGAACTAAAAAATTAACGGCGTTTTGAAAGCTTGAAATTGTTTTTGTTCTTAGATTTACTTTAACATTCTAACAGTATAAAAGACACAGAAAACATCTTGAAATTTATTTGTCTCCTGCTTTCAGAAACAAAACTACATTGAAAAGAAATTTAAAGTTTTCACATTTCCTTGATAGAATTAGAAAACAATTCCTATATATACACAAAAACGTTATCAGTATTTCCTAAAAACAAATAACAAAAAAAAAAAAGAAAAAAAAAAAGAGCAATTTCAGCCAATCCTAAATTAATAAAGAGAAGAAAAGGCTACAAAAGCGAGTTGCTATATGTTACTTTGGAACAGCGGCGCGGACATATCTGGAAGCAAAAGTACAGTTCAGATGCTCTGCAGAGTCGGTATTGGTGGAAGAGATCACCATTTTTGTCTCAAAGAAAAATTTCAATAGAGTGACGAGTGAATGAGGAAGATAATGAAGGTTCCAGTGCTGATCCTTTATCTTAACAAATCCAAATAAAAAAAAAAAAAATCAAAAATGAATTTATGAAATTACAAATAGTAAGACTTTAGTGTGCTTTAAATATTCGCAGAACGTAACGGTGGGGGACACGTTGCGTTGTCCATTGTAGGTTGCGTGGGGTAATGCAATCTTTCCCTTGCCGCATTTGCCTTACCCACTTTACGCCATTAAATACAGGGATTTTGATTTTACGGTAAGAAAATTAACCGATCACAATACCCATATATTAATAGTAAAGAATGTTAATAATTGTTTCTGAACAAACCCATAAGTTCTAAAAAATTAGAGTTAAACCCTAAATAGTTTATAGGTTTTATAAATTACTCAATCCAATGATCTAAAAATAAATAAAATTGTTTGATTATAAATACATAAGGCCAATGTCTTAAAAATTTAGTTGAACTCATTATTTATATAAAAAAGGTGTAAAGTCAATACTTTCGTCTAAACTTAATAAATTACGGTTTTGACGTAGAACAAATTCCTCATTATCTTATGAATTCTATGGCTTTTAATTTAATATATCATTTTCTAAAAATTCGCTCTTCCTCACTTAAATTCCTAGCTCCACTACTATCAGTATCACAAGTTAATATGATTTTTTTGTATAAAAATAATATTTAAAATATTGTTCGGAGGTATTTAAGATGAGATGATATGGTTGAAGAATTGAAATAGAAAATTGTTTTCTATTTCAAGAAATTAAATTGAAACTCATAACAACCTTCCCCATTAATGTAGGATAGGCTTTTGACAAATTACATAAATATCAACAAGAGTTGTTATTATAAATTTATTTCACTTCTTAGAAGGCGTATTTACGAGATAAAATGATGTTTTATTCATGAATAACCCTTTATTATTCATAATATTTACAAATAAGTAACATATTGTTTAGGTTAAAAAAACAAGTTTAAAGACTTATAAGAAACATAAGATTTTTCAAATCGGAATTCTCTACTTCCTTAGGGAGAAAGCATTTTTTTAGTATAAGATATGACATAACTAGCCCAAGAATTATGCAATTATTTATAACATTATTTTTGATAATATTATTATAATAATAATGTGATAATTTATTATTGATTAGCTTATAAATTAATAGGTGAGATTTATACAAATAAATAAAACTTATTTTATAAATTATCTAATTATAAATAATCAAGTCAAGGTTATATGAAAAGCGACTGGAAGATTGAACTTGCACTTTAATAATAACGGGGAACATTAATCATGTCAAGATATTCCATCATTTAAACGAAATCTGTAAAGATCTACGAGATCTGCATATCCGAGCTGTACTTTTATCATAAACAGTAGTACAATCCAAAAAGTGGCCATTTTAGTATTTTTACGAATTTCTACAAATTATCTTTTAAATTATAAAAAATGGGGCCCGCGAGTTAGTGATACCGATGGATAGAACGTCACCATATGGATCCAAATTATTTAACTTATTACACACGTGGCAAAATATGATTGAGGGTCCTCTAGTTGTCCTGTCAGTTCTCCACGTCCGCGTTCTGTCGGCAAAACATATAATTTAATAATTGACTTCGATTGTTCGGTTCATGTTAACCGGCCGGTCAAACTCTCTCACTCATGAGGGGAAACATCTTCCGAGCTTAGATATTTATATGAAACGATCTCAATATTTTACGATTTATTTAAATCTTTTATTAGATTTTAAAAAATATATTTGTAAAAAAAAAAAATTACTTACATAAGATAAAATCATCTTATTATTTCAATTTATTAATATAATAAAGTCAATAACTTAATAAATTATGATTTTAACGTAGAACAAATCTCTTATTATTTTATGAATTATATGGCTTTTAATTTAATATATCATCTTCTAAAAATTCGTTCTTCCTCACTTAAATTCCTAGCTCCGCTACTATCAGTATCACAAGTTAATACGATTTTTTGTATAAAAATAATATTTAAAATATTATTCAGAGGTATTTAGGATGATATGGTTGAAGAATTGAAATAGAAAAATGTTTTCTATTTGAAGAAATTAAATTGAAACTCATAACAACCTTCCCCATTAAATGAGATGTAAAAAAAAAGTTTACATTTTTAGATAACAACCTTCCCCATTAATGTAGGATAGGCTTTTAATCAATTACATAAATATCAACAAGAGTTGTTATTATAAATTTATTTCACATCTTAGATGTTTTCAAAAGGTGTGTTTACGAGATAAAATGATGCTTTGATCATGAAAAACCCGAGAAGATGGGCATGTGTAGGTGGTTGGCTGTCATAGTTTTCCACGAACATAATTCCAATGATCCCCACATCGACAATGAAAAAGCATACTAATTTGCAGTTTTTAAAATGTTATTGTACTCTTTACTATTCATGATATTTATAGAGAAGTAACACATTTTTTAGGTTGGAAAACAAGTTTAAGGACTTATAAGAAACATGGCGCGTTTGGTTCATTATTTTAATACTTTTTAGAGTAATATTTTGAAAAAAGTCAAATTAAGTGGGTATTACGATGTATGATTTAAAAATTAATAAAAATATCTTTTTATGTTTGTTTATTTACTAAACACTCCTATTAAAAATATTAAAAATACGGACAACCGGCCACCACCGCCAAAGGGTGACCGGAGTCGCCGTATCGATACACGATTGACTAAATTTGGTCGGTCGTGCGCCGATATGACCTTTTCGACTAGATCTGGCCGCATTTATTCGTCAACTACTACTAGCTAGATTCAGTAGGTAGTATGTTATTATACCATATTCGCGCTAGCTTTCGGCAGTGGTGGCCGAAATCTGGCAAATATGAGTTGTTGGAGTGTTTTTGTCAATTTCTAAAATTTTTTTAGGAGTGTTTAGTTAAATTAACAAATTTAGAGTTTTTTTTTAAAATTGAATAATATAGAATAATATTTTGAGAATAAAAGAATAAACATATTTTAGATGGAATAGAGAATAAAACACTGAAAAATTGTGTACCAAACGGACCCCTTTTTCAAATCGGAATTCTCTTCTTATTTAGAGAGAAAACATTCTTCGGTAGAGAATATGACATAGTTAGTCCACAAATGACTCTATTGTTTATAACTCAACTTTTGATAATATTATTATAACAATAATACTAAATTTATAGTTTTTTTTTTCATAATTTTTGATGTGATAATTTATGATTGATTAGTTTATAAATTGATAAACCAGATTCAGATAAACAAAACTTATTTTATAAGTTGATCAATAACAAACCCGTTATGGGAGACATTGTATGATTGAGCTATGACCAAACGTTACTTGTACTCAAATAATTGAAAAACTTGATAGATAAAGTTGCCACTCTAATAATAACGTGGAACATTAATCATGTCAATACATTCCATCATTTAAATGAAAACCGGATATTTGAACTGTAATTTTATGATGAGTAATACTCTATATATATATATATATATATATTTTTAGACAATATAATAATAAAAAAAATATAATAAAATAAAAAATTAAATTTTTTTATTTAATATATTTTATTATATAATATTGTATAAAAATATTATATAAAAATAACATATGTATAATATTATATTTATGATAAAACACTATAGAATAATACAACCAAAAGTGGGTATTTTTACGAATTTCTACAAATTATCTTCAAATTATAAAAATGGAGCCCACGAGTCATGATACCGATGGATAGAACGTCACTATACTACTATATAGATCAAAATTATTTAACTTATTACACACGTGGCAAAATATGATTGGGGTCCTCTAGGTCCTATCAGTCAACGTCAGTTCTCCACGCCGCGTTCTGTCGGCAAAACATAATTTAATAATTGACTTTGATTCAGCTCATGTTAGCCGGCCGCTCTCGTCATGAGAGGAAACATCTTCCGAGCTTAGATATTTATATGAAACGACCTCATTATTTACGATTATTTAAATCTTTTATAGACTTAAAAAATATACTTGTTAAAAAAAAAAAAAAATTACTTACACGCAATAAGATCATCTTATTATTTCACTTTATTGATATAATTTCAATTATAATATTGTATAAATAATTATCGGATCAATTTTTAGTTTCGCCCAAAAATAATTTAGTTGTTAGATACAGCCTGAATTATTAATATCAAACACAAAGTTTGGGTAAGTTTTTTTATTTTTTTACATTTCAAGCGTAAGGGATTGAGAATGTTTCCAATACAATTTCAATGGAAAAAGTACGCTTCTGTTTTGCCCTAGAACATTTTTCCGACACCGTCTTGTCGAGGAACAGACTCATGTACATCCATCCGATTCCAATTCTTGACCAGAGGAGCCATTTGATCAACTTTATCAAACAAACCCAGAAGCCCTCCTGTGTGTATAAAAAGGATCTTTCTCCCTTCCCACTTCTTTGGATTCTCAGCCATGTCTTTCAACATTCCATAAGCAGCTTTCCCACTAAAAGCAATGACCACCAGAAATAATTAAATTTTACAACCAGAAGAGAAGATCAAGTGAACCAAAGAATGAAATAAAAGTTTCATGTAGCGTTCAATCGAGAGGAACATTGGTCATAATTTGTAACAGCATTTCATGTCATGTAAAATTGTAAACGAAGAACATTGGTGACTAAACTGTGACTACCGGGCAATTCTACGATGCCATTGTTCAGTACTTCTTAAATATCGTTGCGGACATCCATGAATGATTAACTACTCTTTTTCTGGTTAAAATTGATTTCAAGAATAGTTATGATACAATTAGGACTTTGAAACTACACTTTCATAGTTTGGGGGACAACCTGTGGCCTAGGAAACTATTAAATGGTGATAGCTACAATGGAGTGACAGAACAAGATCCATTTTGCAAACTCAAACAATCAACTCAACATTGAGTTTCACCGTACATGATTAGAAGGATTCAGCCGTTACTGCAACTTCATTATAAGAGCAAGTTAGGCAAGCTATGAGCAAAATATGGTTACCCTTTGGAGGACATAGAATTATATTTGTCTTTTAACAGTTCTGATATCAGTTACTAAAGTTCCTCACCCAATAAAAGAAGAACACACACAATGAGCGCACACAAACACCTAATGAGAGCTGAGCTCTTATTAGTAATAGTCACAGAATAAGATAGTACCTGTAAACGGGATCAAGAACAACACCGGTGGCTGCAGCAATTTCCTTGACAAAATTAAGCTCCTCAGAAGTGTTGATTGCATAGCCCAGACCTTTAGCCTGTGGGAATACAAGAATTGAGAACGATTAACTTTTTATTTAAATGTTCAAGGAACATGATCATTATTAGAGGTCTCATCAATTGAACACAGTTCAAATCCTCAAAGGTACACATAATAGCTAGTTTTGGCAAGTTTAATCTTAAAGCTATAAGCAGAGAGAGAAGAACAGAGGGTTTTTCCCGATTAGAAGCTAGATATTGGAGACAGAATCATTAATTGACTCTGATACATAATGTCAATATGGTGGAACCAGAGGACCAGTAGCTAAGGTATAGAACGCCAAAAATCAAGTGCAATATATGTCTACAGAAAAGCATTTTGGCTATAAACTTACATTTAGAACATTAACAATATCACGGGAGTTAACACCTGCATTGAGCCCATCGAGTAGACCTTGAGTAAAGTCGTAGAAGTAATCGGGGTCGTCACAAACAGCAAACGCATGAACCTACATAGAAAACAGAACACACAAATAAAGTAATTGATATATAGAGAGTAGCAGGTATACATCTGTAGTAAACTTCATATTACCCCTAGTGATTTGGCCTGTTGTTCTTTTCATGAAATATTGGTCCCTGTATTTCAGCATAAGGTATAGAACACCAAAATACTAATTCACCAAGCCCATATATAGTAACTCAGTTTTTTCCTTTTCTAACTTGTATATTTTAATCCTTGTAAGACAAATATTTAAGCTCTGGCAATCCCCTTTTTGTTTTATTTTTATGGGCTACTGTTTACATGTTTCACAGCTATGCTTCAACCACAAGGGAGATGTATGACAAGCAAACCCAGAGAGTAGCAAAGTTAAATGCCAAAAACAAAGATGGCAGAAGGTATTAAACCCATAAATTTGTTTAATGAAAACATACCTTTGCCTTCAATGTTCCCAGCCATGACCCCAACGACAGACCAGCAATTGTGCCTCCACTGGAAATTAAGAAGCATTGAAAAAGAAAAAAATCAACTTCAGGAAAGTGCTCGGTCTAAGCCAATTATAAAGACTTATAGGCAACAATAGATTAATACAGGCAAAGCCATGAAATAGAAAATTACTTTTATAATTGAGAAAGTACTCATGGAGTTCTAGCTTTCCATTCATAAGGCTTGTAAAGTCATTTTATCCTGCGGCACTAAAATCTGCTAGCTAAGGCAATAAGCACTGAAAATTAATATCTTGAGTGAGATTTCACTTTCAGGAGTTCAGCTTTCCATTCATAAGGCTTGAAAGTCATTTTATCCTACAGCACTAAAATCTGCTTGCTAAATGCTAAGGCAATAAGCACTGATAATGAATATCTTGAGTGAGATTTCATTTTTAGCAACTTTTATAATACATGGCACGTTCAACTTAAAGATTGAAAACACTAAAAGGCCACTGAAATCAACCAGCAAAAACCACTGATTGATAACCATCAAAAGCAAGAGGCACTCACCAATTCAAAAATAATTTGAAACAAGTTTATCGCCTCTATATGTCAATTATATTGACAATTTTCAACCCTGTCTCACATTTTTCATCTTAGGCTCTATTGGGGTGTTTGTACATTAAAATAAGGGAAAACCATGACACCTTGCCACTCCTCTGTCTATGGGACAAACTTATAAGGAATGTTCAGTGTCGAGTGGCTAGCCAAGGCTGAAGAAAAATTTCAAATACAGCTCAAAATGAACAAAATTCCATCACTCCACTTCTGAAGTGTAAAGATTAATTTACAACAACCTAACAATTTTCAGTGCTCAATTAGTTATTAAATGTTGGCTGCAAAATTAGAAGAGGGTGGTGGTAATGTCCACAATTTGTTCAATCCTAAATGTTTTTTTTTTCCTTGTTGAAATAATATCCCTGCTGATTGTAATGCTAAAGTATTATACTAAAGTCAAAGCAAAGAGGAACAGTTCAAAGAGGATAAGGGGGAAAAGCATGCATATAGCTTATAATATTTAACAAGCAGAGCAGAACCTGCCACATGCTACAACGATATCATCAAATTTTAATTTTCCAGTCCCTGTCTGAAGCTGCTGCTCTAACTCTGTAATTGCTTCAATATAGCCCCTGAACGAATAATAAACACTTAGAATGTTGACCAATTTATAGCAACAAAGCAAATGATTTAATTGCAAGAATAAATGGATGATAAAGGATAAGCCACTAATGACTCATCTCACCAGGTTCCTAACGAGTTTGATCCACCAACAGGAATAACATACGGCCTTCTCCCTTCCTTCATCAACTTTTCTTTTAAAATATTGGTAAGTGTCTGATATCGAAAAGTAGTAAGGTTATGTAGCAATATTTGCAATCAAAAGCTATTAATAATATCGAAAAAAGGACCCAGAAATACAATGGAGATAGTTGGCAAAATGCAGTTTATAGAAAAAACCCTTCCAATAAATCAATCAATATTACCCCTATCCCAACAATTTCAGAATGACAACTTGAAACCAGTTCCACCAGTTATGCCACTCAAAATCCACACAAAAAGTAAAAGCGTTAAAGGAGCATCTGAAAATGAAATCTCCTACATCAAAATTGCTACATGTTCCTAATTCAATTAGACTCTTTCCAGCCTAATAATTATAGTATACGCACACTAATGCATTTTTTCTTTAAAAATATAATAGCATAAACTTAAGATGGTGACATTAGCATTTGAAGCATATAGAGTACGTCAATAAGCCACCCAGAGATGAATGCAATAGTAATAAATAACAAGACATGAACTAAAATGCAGATGGCTGTAAGAAAAGCAATAGACATACCACACTACCGATTTTTCCATATTCTTCTTTCGAGATAAGTTCAATATGAGCTCCAACTAAACGCTCAACAAGTAGATTGCCTGTCAATCCAGGATCTTGGTCCACAAGGACCTGCAAATTTATTTTATACCACATTTTTTCAACAAACATCTTGTTCTAAAAAAGTATGATACAAGAAAACCTAAAATAAAGAAAGAGTTGAAAGATATTAACCTTTGAGGTGCGAAGAATTAGATAACAGTCAAGATTGAGATACTTGGCAGCAACAGCAGTAGCACGACAGTGATTGCTTTGAATACCTCCAATGGTAATAATACAGTCAGCACCTTGTGCCACCGCATCTGCCAACAAAAACTCTAATTTCCTCACTTTGTTACCACTCAATTGCATGCCCGAAAGGTCATCACGCTGTAATATCATTAAAAAAATTACCTCAGGTTTGACCCAAATACACTCAGACTCCACTAGCTCCAAGATTCACCCATAATGATATCAAAACTAAAACAATAAAATGGTCATAAACCTCTCTAAAATGGTAAAAAACTCTTAACATTTGTAAAATTAATAAATGTTAAGACTCAAATATCATTGTGAGATCCTTACCTAATAAGTTAAGCTTTTCGGTCAAACGGTTTCTTTAACACAGTATTAGAGCTACAATACTGAAAATCGTCAAAAACCTCCCTTAAATCGGTCAATAACTCCAACATTTTGCAAAATTTATCAATATTAGACTAAACATATTAACGTTGCGCCCTTACATGATAACTTAAGCTTTTCCACCAAACAGTTTCCTCACATAGTATCAGAACTACAGTCTCGAATGTATTTGAATTTCTATATCTCTATTTAGCCAATCATGTTCAAGTCTATCAAGCCATAAACCACTACACAGAGAGAAAATTAAATAAATAAAAACTTACCTTCAACCAGACCTCAGTGTTATTGGGCAAAATGGGGAGGTTCCATTTGTGAATGGGAGTAGGAAGCTGAGAACAAACATCACTTCAATTTGTAAAACTTACAAAACAACCCCAATTGATAAATTTCATTATAATCAACTAAAAAGTAAAAAATAACCAAAAACAATTGAATAAAAACACTGATGATGATGAAGATGAAGAAGCTTACGTGGCCAAGAGAGAAGGTGTGAGAGGGGATAGGGCTCAGATGGGAGGCCCAAGGAGGGGGGATGTATGGGTTTTTGGTCAGGAATTTGAAAGCCTCGTCGTTTTTCTCCATCACAATCTTCTTGTGAGACTGAGACGCAATGCTTCTGATTCCGATTCCGATTCTGCTACGGCGTTGGCTACTAAACGAGGTGGTTTTGTTAATGGGATTCAGAAGATAGCACCTGCTACTACTATTGCACAACATTTTGTTTCTTTCCGCTTTGCTTATTTACTGCATTGGATCAATCAGCTAACTTCTGGGAGGTGAATGTTTTTTTCACAAAGCATTGGGGACCTACAAAATCTTTTCCATGGCTTTTCTTTATTGGAAAGTTTTAGGTACTACTTCACAACATTTTGCTTATTTCTTGGAAATTTCTACTTTTCTTTTCCTTATAATCCATAAATCATGAACTTGCTTCGTCAACCTTAGTTCGAATATGAAGTCCCGTTGAATCCTATAATCTTCAACTCTAATGGGCATTTTCCATTTGCATTGCACAATTAACCAATAAACTTGCCTCACAAATGACGGTTAATTGAATTTATTTATAAATTTTTAGGTACCTATGTTCGATATTGAAGAGTGTGTTTGATTTATTATTTCATACCATATTCCCAATCCTATTTCCAAAATATTTATTTGTTTAATTATTTAGAAAATACTATTATATTGTTTTAATTACTTTTAGTCCCCTTAAGTTTATTAATTTCCTAAATACCCTTTAAAAAGTTTAAAAATTAACAAAAACACCCCCACCCACCCATAGTTGTCAAATTCCAGCAATCACCGTCGATGCTAGTCGGAATCTGTCACAACGGCCTACAAATGACTAAAACTAGCGGGTAATTCGCCGATTTGGTCAGAAAAGGCCTAACGGCCAAAGAAATGGTCGTCGCTGACGGCTAAATCTGGCCTTTTGCGACCATTGACGGCCATAACTGATTGTCAATCTGGCCAGAAAAGCCTAGATCTACGCATGTGTGGCCATATCCGATCGTTCTACGTCATAACACTAGATTCTAACCAGATTTCAACGGTGGTGGCCGGAATCTGGCACTGTAGGTGGGTGGGGGTGTTTTTGTCATTTTACAAATTTTTTATATATTGGGATGTTTAATTAAATTACCAAACCTAGGAGGTTTTTTTTTGTTTGTTAAATTTTAAATTTTACCTCGTAATAATCACCCTATCCAAAATAACAAACCAAACGAACCCAAAAATTTTATAAAAGATTACCGACGATCCAATAAAATAATATCACGTTAATAATAGTGTTTAAAACTATTGTATGGTGCACATAGTAATACAATTTAATCACAACTTTGAAGAACAACTATATATTTGCTTGTATTACATTTAACAATCATAGATAAAAATATTAATTTAACTACATAAACACTTCTTACACCCTAATGAATTTCTGTCATGTACTCTAAAGGAAAATAATACAGCCACCGACGGTTAGGGGTGCAGTCGAACCGAGTAGCTCGTGCCACCGACGGTTAGGGGTGCAGTCGAACCGAGTAGCTCGTGAGCTACTCGGATTCGACTGGTGATGAGCTCGGGCTCGACTCGTCGGAGAACGAGTAGTTCTCAAGTTCGAGCTCAAACTTCAAGCTCGTGAAAACTGTCGAGCTTTTCAGGCTCGACTCGAACTGTTCGCAGGCTGTTCGACGAACTGGAGACGTCATTCGAGCAGGAGAGCTCGTGAGATCGAGTTGTGTTAATATTTGTCCTAAAATCTGAAATCAAGTCATTCATTCGGCCGAAAACAGACATTCAGCTATTCACCTCCAAAACACAGCGCAAGATGTGAGACCACCATTGTCCAGCCTTCATCCAGCCTTCATTCAACTACTACCGACCAGCGACCAGCTTCAGCTACTACTGTCCACCATCGTCTTCCGTTCTTCACTTCCCTGCTGCCACAAGGTACATTTTCCTGCTTCTTGACACCCAAAGTTGTCTCTTGCCGTGAGTCTCATTCTTTAAACTTGTTTAAGTTGATTACAAATTTCTTTGTTTTCATCTCTCTTTAGTTACGAATTCTTCGTGGATTTATGTTGACTTTGCTAGATATTTGGAAATTGGAAGCTGGGTCATGAGTTGCGTTAATTTTTAGAAGTTTGCAGAGAACTTGTTATGTGTTTGATGAAATGCCTCTGAGAGAAGAGTTTTGATGGTTATGATGGGCTTTTGATAAAAGTTAATAATGTGCTTGAATAAAACTAAAAAAACATGAAAGTTAACAAGTCAAAGTTGGATGAATCACTTTATGTACCAAACATCTTAAAGGTTTGATGGCGTGGAGCCGTAGCATAGTAAGATGGAAAAAGTTGCATGAATCACTTTAGCATACTCGTTACGATTAGAGCCCTGTTGTGGCTTGTTTTTATGCAGATCCACAGTGTCTTAGGCTATTTATAATGCGAAATCATTTTGGCAGACTACATAAACCCACACTATCAGCCTTCAGCATAACATATAAGTTGAGGTTAACAGTCACCATCTAGCATACTCTCATTCATGCTTATGTTGTAATATTTATGCGCAAAGGTTGGTGTGCATTTATTTCAATCTGTAGACAAAGTGCTTTGCAGAATGTCATTTTCAGTACCCCCGATTGCTATGCTTAATTAGGATAATACGCAATTCTTGTTAGCTCTTTGAACAATATCACATGTTTGTTCAGCTACTGCCTAAAATAAAACTGTTTTCGCTGTCAAGGCAGGTCTAGATGTCATAAAACACTCCATGGAATATTTTCCTCGTTAACTTTGCTGCTTTTCTTTATTAAATTGTTGAAATTTAGACTGGGTGATTTTGGATTTGAAGGATATGATTGATTTTTAGAACATCTATTACAGAACCTTGTACTGATTTAACTGTTTGTGTTTTGCCATCTTATCTGAAGATGAGTGAATTGGTGCAATCACTTGTTACATATTTCACTATGTTTCTTCTATTTCACTCTGTTGAACTTTTTATGAGAAGTTAGTTACTATTTGAACATACTTTGTGGTTGTTGGGTTAGGCAGTAATGTGTTACTATTTCTGAAAATTGAATATAATTTGTTTGTTGTATGCAAATTTCAATGATTTGGGATGTTTTACATGTGCACAGGATGTTGAACAAGGGTGTTGATGAAGGAAGATGGTCTGAAAAATTTGTTCCTCGGTGGCTATTTTGTCCAAAGTTTCTGATTATTTGATAATTTGATCAACCTCATCACAAGGGAAAATCGGAGCAGACATAAAAATTTAATATGCTGACCCTGTGGTCAACTTTGAATTCCACCATATGGGTTATACTCTCAAATTATGTCTGTTTCTTTTCACATTATAGCTTTTGGAATATTTTTAGATTATAAATTGAACTATGTTTATGAAAGATATTGGTCATCTGAGCCCCTTATTATCCATATGTTCAATAAATATACGTTTGCTTTCACTTTTGCTCTCCAAAGTTACTCATATTTAAGGCTGATGCTGATCAAATGTGTTGTTGAGATATCAATATTTATTGACGTTGTATCTGCAATAAACTGACATGGACTAATTCATACGACGCAGAATTTTATCTTTACGTTGTCATGTTCTCGTGATTACCAAATAAAAGTTCACAAATTACAGAGACAAAACAAATAAGAAACTTTAACATAAGGTAGTTGTTACCTTCACCAAATGAACTAATCACCAGCCAAAAATTTACACGTGTGCAAAGTCCTTTATGTGTCTTATTTGTTTTGTAGCATCCCAATTCTAAAACTTTTTCTTTCAGTTAAGAAACCTCTGTTGCCTGAACCCCAACATATAATCACAGACAAAATCTGGCAATTTATTTTTTGAATTTAAGATCTATGCCCGAGATGATGGCTGCCCCAGCACCCGCAACACCAAGAGTTACAAGAATTTTTGCGGAGTTACAAGAAAATTTCTAAGATATTTGCATGCATTTATATTGAATTCTGACGGATCCTGGAGTAAGGGTAAAGTTAATCCTATTAATATTTCAAAACAGAGCCATTATGGTAGAATGACTCTTAGTAAAGCTATATTCAACTTTTCAAAACAAAGTAAATCTTGGGAAAATGGCTCCAGGATGAGAAGTCGTAAAGGTAATTGACGTTGATGAGCGGTAGTTTTGGGAAAATGAAAGAATAAGGAGAAGAAGAAGAAGCTGTGCTTTGTTTTGCTGGGAAAAAGCTTCAAACGAACTTGGCTCGAGCTCAAGCTTGGCTGGGCTCGACTAGGCTCGAAACTTAACGAGTCAAGCCGAGTCGAGCTCAAGTCCTGTAATTAATTTGCCGAGCCGTGCTCGAGCTCAAGCTCCCGCCTTATCTCATCGAGCCAAGCTCGAGCCGACCACTACTCGGCTCGGCTCGTATGCACACCTACCGATGGTAGTACACCGAATGATATGACAAAATCCTGATCATTGATTAATTTTAACTTAATATTAATCAACGGTCAAGATTTTGCCACGTTATTCGGTGTACAAATTCGATGCACTATCGTCGGTGGCTGTAGCATTACTCGTACTCTAAAACCCCCCTACATTAATTCATAATGAATGTTCTCAATTGTGGCATAAGACATCTATAGGAGGTGTTTGTAAATAAATAAACATAGGAGGTATTTTATTAATTTATAAATTCTGTATCGTAATACCTGTCTAATTCAACTTTTTTTTTGAACCAAACGAAGCCCTAAATCTCAATCCACATTTTTATCAATTGGTTCCTCAATTATGTCATCTAAAAGGCTGAGTTACTCCCCTTTGTTCTCCCTGTTAATACATCCTTGGCTTCATTGATCTTGGATGCAAGATAGTGGCTGCCCCCGGCGTCCGGGTGATTTGCCATCATTACTCTCCTATGAGCTTCCTTTATCTTGTCCATGACAGCTCTCTCCCTGCAAGAAATATACCCAGAAATATGGAATAGAAATTCATTAAGAAAAATGTGACTATATGAACATTAACAACTACCTTAAAGCACCAAAACTTGAATTAATCAAGCTTTCTTAACCATCAAGATTCAAGATCGAGATGCATCACTAGAGAGTTTTATGGCGCCTGTTGTGTGTCAGGATAGGACTTATTTCCAGTGGTGAGGGTTCTAGATATAAAAAGTGTTACCAATTATTTTACAATGGAGATTACCTGACTCCAAGAATTAAAGCAGCCTCCCTCCTGGACATGACCATTTCAAAGCCACCATGGTAAAATCTTCTAAGATGAGGAACTGCAGGGCGAGTTCTGAATGCTTGCCATGCAGTAAGAAAGTATCTTCCACCCATAGCAGCAGCTGCCACAGCTGCCCCTATCACCATTGGAGATTCCTGCTCACAAACACAATGTAATTGCAAACAATCAACAAAATATCCAGCCAACCACACCTTTTTACCAACGCAAAGAAAAAGAATTTGCAAAAATTCACTTGTGTACTTTCCATCCCACACAGCGATTCCTAACGCTAAATCAAAAGAGAGAAACAAAACGGGTGGGTGCTAATTTTTGTAAAGAATTCTAGGGTTAAGCTAAGATTGCAGAGAGCCAGCGAATCACATCAAACTAAATTACCAAGAAAAGAAGAAGAGAATCTAGTATATAGAAATATATAACTAGGAAAACTTACCATTATGATGTTTTGTAGTGTAGCAGAAGCAGTTCTCCCAGAATATCGAAAGCCTGAAACCAAAGCTTTGTAAATTGCTGGTCATTTGTTTTGTTTAATGGCGTCAAAGGATGAATAAATAGATGGGCGGGAGCTTTATTGCCTTGCTCTTCACGAAAAAAAAAAAAAACAAGGGAATAACCGGCTTTCTTACCGGAAAAACCCGAAAAGCCTCGGGTTCTCTAGAAGATTCGTTATTACCCATTCCTATTAAATCCGGCCAACAATTTCACCCGGGTCAATTGGTCAAGTTCAATCCATTATTTTTTTAAAAGAAAGAAATTGGACCTTTATAAATTAATTGCATAAACTAAAATTTATGGTACGTTTATATGAACAAATTTTGTAAGTATAGTAATATTGTCAGAATGTCAGTTCGTAGCTCATTTATCATCTCACAGTTCTTAGTATTAATTTGTGAAATTATTTTGACATGAAATAAAAAATAAAATCAAACATTTGAATATTATATTTATAATAATTTGTTGTATTATTTTGAAATGAAATCAAAAAATAAAAACAAAAATGTGAATTTTGGATTTCCAAATTTGTGAATGTCTTCTATATCATTTTCTAAATTTATTTTTTTAAACAAAATTATTAAAATAAATAATTAATTTATACGATAAATTTGTATATATATAATTACTTTTAATTGACCATTTGGCTGATTGGCTTTCATTAGCAAACTCAATTGCTAAGCCAATTGTAATTAGTATATTCTATGTTGGTAACAAATAACTTCTAGGTAGGTTGATGGGTTAGTTTCCCCCAAGGCAAAGATTTAAAACCCAACCTCGGGAGTGACCTAATCATGTCACCAGGTTGACCAATCAAATCGTGATGTTGTCGTGTTGATGCCAACATGATGACATCATTCTAAAATCAACATAACATAAAAAATAATTAAAAAAAGGGTTCAATCATTCGGTTGAACCGATTGAATCGACCGTTCGCAATAAAAAGCCAATCCAATTGCGATTCAAACTGGGTCATTTGCTAATTCCAGTTTTTTAGTCAAACCGACCCGCTCGATCATCGATTTCCGATTGAATCGACCAAGTCGGGTCGGGTTTTAAAATCATGCTTCAATTATTAATCGAGATATGTGTAAACTGATTCAAAAACTTTGATTAAAAAAAAAAAAAAATTCTAAATATTACAAATTAAAGCAAATATATTTTATTCTCTATATTTAAGAATGCCATAAACAAATCTAAATTGCTATCACAAACATTTCTAATTTATGGCCATTGCTTGTGCCGTGAGAGCAAGGGTTCAGAGCCACATTTTTCACCTAATATTATAAAATTGGTTACAAAAATCAGATGATTTCGAATAACATATAAACATTAAAATTAAGTCCCTAGTCTCACCATGACCAAAATTTCCAGCTTTATAGCAAAAATAAGATACAAGCTCGATACGACAAAAGAGCCTCACCCAACACTAAAAAGCCTAAATACAAAAAAAAATTGCGACTATGGTATAATTGGATGCATGAGAAATGACTCGATTCGAGTAGGAAATTGCAGAATAAAAGCCGATACCTCAGGATGACTAAAATTGTGAATTACTGAGGAAACTGACCATGCATCTAGCACTTTGGAACAGCTTGTCTATTCTCTCCCATACTGCGGATTGAACTTCGACAAGCTAGCTTTATAGCAAAAATAAGATACAAGCTCGATAGGACAAAAGAGCATCACCCAAAACTAAAAAGCCTAAATACAAAAAAAAAATAAAAATAAAATAAAATTGCGACTATGGTATAATTGGATGCACGAGAAATGACTCGATTCGAGTTGGAAATTGCAGAATAAAAGCCGATACCTCAGGTTGACTAAAATTGTGAATTACTGAGGAAACTGACCATGCATCTAGCACTTTGGAACAGCTTGTCTATTCTCTCCCATACTGCAGATTGAACTTCGAGAAGCTCTCTTGCTTTATCCTGTAATTTGGAGTGGCATCGTATTGTCTCACCATGTATCTGAACAAAAAAATGTAGAAGAGATTATAATTTTTTCCCAGAATCAACATGGTTTTATAAGTCAATAATGAAAATGGTTTTTAGATAAGTAGTTGACATGAGAAAAGCGAGTCAATACCTTCAGAAACAACCTGATAACAGCTTGTATAAACTCAAAATTGTTCCTGCAGGAAATCTCATGCATAAAATAGTCCAGAAGCAGTTCAATTGAAATAAACTCAGGTCTTTTATCAAGTTCTTCATCGTCATCATCTATAATCTGAAGCATCCGGAGTTCCATATCCAAAGTTGAAGGGGATAAACTTTTCATATAATCGGTAAATAATGAAACTGCAACATGTTTAAAGTAAACAAATGTCAGACACTAGAACATTTCATAGAGATATTTGACAATGCATTGAAAAATGATTTTATATGAGATATAGCACGCTCACAATTTTTCATATCTGCAGAAGACTGAAGAAGTTGCAGAAACTGTGATGGTGGCAAATCTGATTTCCTTTTGCTTTCCTCTTTGTCATTTTCTGTATCTTCATCCTTCGTGGACTCACTAGGCTTAAAGGATATCTCGCCAGAAAGAGATGGAATTGAAGGCAAGAAGAATGGAGCCTTCTCAGGTTTCTTAGGAGGCTCGATTGGTTTATTCCGAGCCTGAAAGTTGTTCGGATTCATCATGCAGAAAGCAACAAACAAAGTCATAAACCAAACAAATCTGGAAAAGAGTAAACTATAAATATTGTGAACTAAGGTTAAGAAGTTTAAAATGGAAATGAATAGTGTAAAGGTTAATGGGTTAAAATATAAAAATAAAAGGGTAGAGTAGATAGTGACCTTTATAATATCCAAATTGATCAAACTTTGCCATTGGCTTTTAGGCAACAGTGACAGAGTAACTAAATCAGGGATCTGCTGATTGAAAGTTGAAGAAACAGAAGTGTCTTTAGATTCTGTGCAGTCTACAACAAGGTTAGTAGAATGCTTGTCTTCAGAACCTTCGACTGAAGAAACAGATGGCATTTTAACGCTCACAATTTCCTTCCCACTAGCATAAGAATCAACATTTGATGGTCCGGAGAACATACACTGATTTACCCTGAAAAATTACCAACTATCAAATTTAGTCCAACAATATAAGTAGGCTGCACAAAGATTATAACGATCTGAATTGATAAAATCACTGTATGCCAGATCTTTAGAATTTTGTGAAAACAAAAAAATTTAGAAGTTAAAATTTGGATATTAAGGGAAAAAAAATATCTTTCAGATTCGCATATCCAAATTTCAGTCAAGTTCATAACTAGTCAGATTTTAGATAAAAGAACATGTACAACCTTTAGACTAGAACCTATATAGAGAAAATAATTAAAGCAATATGAAATTATTTATTATCCCCCATGTAGGAAATATGGTTCGAATTCTTGATATTAGAGGACATTGCAACCACTCATTGTCGAAAAGCTTATCGCTCATGTGCCTTTCAGTTAAAACAAAGTAAAACTCTAAACAATTTCAGAGACACACAATAACAACACCAAAGGTGCAGCATATATACAGCTGAAGACTTACCATAGGTAGACCCCATTCTGATCAACATGGGTAGTTGCTAAAACATCCATATTAGGTGAAAGAGACAATGCTGTGATGGACACACTGACATGTACTGCATCTATTTGTCTTGCCAAGATGACATCCCAAATTCTAAGAGTCCCATCCATACTAGATGACAAAAGCCACTTTCCATCCTCGCTAAAACACAAATCTGTAACCCGATCGGTATGACCTTCAAATTTACGAACCATTCTTAATGCCACAACATCAAACAAACGGATAACTAGATCATCTGCTACAGTAGCCAAAAGACCTGAGACATTATTTAAAAATGAGCTTTATTACGACATGATCCAATGACCATCACAAAATGAGTTAGAGGTGAGAAAACAAGGTGTATGCCGCACACATGTATATGTGTGTGAGAGAGAGAGATCATCAAATTAAATAACTAATTTAGAAATATTACCATTAATTCGATGGAAAACAATCTTAACCACAGAACAGCCAATTTCCCATCTGGATTTTACTTCACGTCTTTTGAAATCCCAAACCTGAAGAGCAAAACCTTAGAGAGATGAACTTTCCACGAAAACTTTGTCCTTTTGAGCAAGAGAGCTTCATGCTGGAAATATTTAACCGAAAAACAAACACATATATGGACCTCAATAGCAGCTATATTAATTTTCACAAAATACAGAATCGAGGCGAATCAGGAACAGGTGGCTACAACCCAGAAATCCATAAATACTTTTTGTCACTATATATAACATCATGTGGAAGGGTTAGTATCATGATTAAGGCAATCAAAAATTGTTTGGGCATAGTAATGTAATCAATTTATGTCAAAGTGCTCAATTATCAGTAAGACAAAATCCAAAATAAGACGCATCAAAATTTAATTTTTGACATAGTATAAGGTTAATACATGCACACCGTTACAGACACACACAAGTGAATCATACATGCTAAAATAAGCAGAGCATAATTTTAAGATAAAAAATACAGACCTTTATATCTCCATGATATCCAGCACTGATCAATAGAGTATTTGTTGAATCACAAGCAACCCCAACCACTTCCCCATTATGGGCACAGCTTTTTCTTTCTGACATGTCCAGGTAGCTGCCTCGGCTGATTCCTGATTGAAGGTTAAATCGCTCAATCCAACCACCAGCTGTCCCCAGAACAGCAAAATTACCACATGCACTAATAGCACATGCCTATTACCAGATTAACAAAAAGGTCATCAACACCAATCCATGTAAAATATTATGAAATGATGCATTCAGAATGATTTTACACTTTTTTCAGATTCCAGGGACCTACTTTTTTTGCCAGCAGATTATATCTAAAAACTACTGATAAATCAAGTAGTATGTCAAGGTCCAATTTATTTCTCATATTGAAATATTCGGAAAAGTATGAAATTTCAAAAGAAGATAGACTCCTAATTCATCAAACACACTTAGCAACAACAGGGTTTCAAGAATCTTTTAGAAATTTTACCTAACCAAAGAATGAGAAAATGAGAGAGATAAGAAATTAAAAAAAAAAATAAATAAAACAACTCTAACCTTAACAGGTGCCGGATTTTCTGGGCATGGCCTCAAAATGTGCTCACCAAGAACGAAGTTTTGAAGCCTCCAAACATATGCTTGTGCAGTATCCATATGGCATGTAACCACATTGCACCAATCTCGCTCCCTAATTTCAGCTAAGGCAGATTTTTTTTGGGTCAAAGACAAAGAAGCAGAATAAGTTCAATTTAAAGACAGAAACAAACTAACAAATTATAATCACAGATTGCTTTCATTGTAGTCATTTGGGCAACTGCTTGCACAGACTCCAATCTTATCTCTTTATTCTTCATTAGGATAGAAGCGACAAACTATGAAAAAATAAAAATAAGAACTGACATGGTTGACCAGAATAATGCATTCACTTAAATTTAGGAGGGCTGTTAGGCTGATTATTTTTCTACAGGATCGTCTCAATTCTTATCTATTGGAATGGTTCAAACTTTGCATATCCCAGATAGCACAGGGATGCTGTGGAGCTTCTTCACTTATTTTATACCCCTATTTCATGTTAATAAATCTCTTAACTCCCTATTTGATTCTTATAAAAGCATAACAACAATAATAGTAATAACAATAATGAGATATCATAACTAAAAAGAGTGGACTACAAAAACTTTTGGACAATAATTATTTATTGAACACTAATTTTTTCAAGAACAGTAAGAGAAAGATCTTACCACAATCAAATGCAATAACAGGCTTCAGTTTTATCTCTTCTTCCTGAAAATTAGGAAAATAAGACACCAAGTAGTTGATTAACAATAATTACATAGAAAACTAACTGTACGGCAATTTAGATAATAAGGACATAACCTTAAGCCTCAACAATGTCATTAGTCAAAAAAGTCACATAGACTCACATACAATTATCAAGGGATTAGACATTGCTGATGGGCATGATAAAACTACAAATACAACTGGAATGAACTAATAACACATTATTCACAAATTACAATAGGTAGATTTGCTGATTAATTTTACATACTAGTGTCGCCTCAAATTACTGTGAAAGGTATTAGCCATCTCATTCATACCTTCATCCTGAGTTTCTTGGCTCGTTTGGATACATGTCGTTGTGAAAGCTCCCGACTTTGTTGATCCTGATCACAACACATAACTAAGTGAATGAATAGCAAACAAAATAACCAAATTGCAAAGATCAAATTTAAAAAGAATAGGAGATAGAGCTCCTAAAATTATCCTTATTCTATCCATGAGTGGAGTAAAACCTGAATGACAGAGAATAGGCGAAACGCACGATCCTGACCAGCTGATAAAATATGTCTCCCATTAGCATAATACCTGTCATAAGCAGAATTCAGAACCAAAAAAGATGTTGTCTAGGACTCCAATTCCTTAAAAAAATTACTGTATCTTATTTTGATTAATATAATCTTTCTTGCTTCTAAGCCATAAATAAAACCCTAAAATTTATCAAACCTTAAAATAAATAACATTATAACAGGGTACAAAAGAATAAGGGACACAGTTGTAAGAATGTCGTGAAACTGAAATCTTACAAGAGCATATCACAAAAAGAACAAAGACTCGCATGGATATAAACTGATATAAGAAGAAAATTTCAATCATGTTATATGTTGATATTATAGTCACCTAAGATCAACAGGGGGTAGCATCATTACCTGATGCAAAGTGGAGGAGCACTATGCCCACTTCGAAAGCGTAATAGACGAGGATCTCCATCACTTGTGTCAAAAATCCACATCTACAAAAGTTAATATGTCAAAATGCATGTCTAATTCAATGAACATTAACAAAAAATCAATAATTTGTCAATGAATCAGATTATCACAAAATTATATACTATACTTCATGAAATTCATAAAAAAAATTGAAAAAAGAAAGAAGTTCATCTTACTTTGATTGAATTGTCTGCTGACGAGCTCATTAGCACAGGCTCATTAGCAAAAAAGTGCAATGAAACAATTGAATTATCATGAGCCTCTCTTACAACTGATTGGAGCTTTCTTTTCTCAAGATTCCATATGCTTATGACACCAGATGAACCTCCTGACGCTAGAAGAGGTTGTCCATCTAAGAACGGAAGATAACCATTAGCATAAATGCTTAATTTCTTCATAATTAAAAATAAAAAAGACTTAAAAACTAGGAATATATGAGCATTAATTCAAGAAACAAAGCTCACAACAAATGAGTAACGAAAGAAAGCAGAATTAATCTACAACACTATAACTACAACCATAAATATATATTTCACAACCACAACTCAGAATTCAGATGTCTATGCATTCACAAAATCAATAAAGTAGAACTTGATTATGTATATTACGTGAGGAACAAGAGCTTCAGCTTACAATAGCTGCCTGGCAACTGAATAAGCAACACAATAAAAAAACAACTGTATTATAATTCTCACACTATCATCAGCTAATCATCCTAAAATGAAATTTAACATTTTGGACAGCTGGCTTGATGAGCCATGAACTCTCGATCAATTTTTGAAGAAAAATAAAGGTGAATGATTCTTGTGAACAATAAACTAGAAAATTCAGCTCCAGAGTGCACCATGGTACCTTCAATAGCTAACAACAATAGTAGTACTTGATTAAGAGTATAAACCACAAGCCTGGGCTCTTACCTGTGCTGAATGACAAGGCAGTAACAGAGCCTCTTGTAGAATGTACAAATGTAACCAACTCTTCATCAAAACGAATGTTGTGAACATGAATTTTCCCATCAGAACAACCAACCGCAACAACATCAAGAGCCGGTGATGAAACACAACTAGAGATAGATGATTCCCATCCCTTGAACTCATAAAGTTTTTTCTTTGTGCTAATGTTCCAAAGCTGCAATGTACCTTCCTGACTACCTAGTAATACCTGTCACATACTTCCGAATGGTAAAAATGGATAGTCTACCGCCGTATATTCATGACAATAATGCTATAAAAGTTACCTTGTTTAGGTAAGTATCTGGATGCATTAGACAGGTAGGAGTAAACTTGTCATCTAGCTTAATGTGCCCAAGGGGTGCAAGATTCTGCTCAATTCCTTTAAATCCCCATATGAACATATTACCATCAACATCAACACTTAGAATATGTTCTCCAAATAACAGTAGCATGTTAACCTTGGCATTGTGTCTACTCCAAGTGGCTAGCTGGCAAACCATCAACATTTTTTCCCTTTAGTACTAGAGACGAAATTCAGGCACAATAATGAAAATATAAAACAAAAACGAATGAGTTTAAGTGAGTATAGGTACCTGATGAGCACGCTTGACAACAGCAATGTCATTACCATATGCTGCAAATGTGTAATCACGATATGAAGCAAGTGCCCTAATCTTCTTCGGTAATTGAGGACCTTTAATAAGAACATTAGGGACTATTATTAGCAGTGCTCTTTCCTACCACTAAAGGCAATTTCAAAAGAAGCCTTTGAGACTTGTTAATTGCCTGTTCAAATTTTCCCTTAATTTAACAACTTACCAACTAGTACCATTGTGAGCTTAGCGCACTGCAAAAATAACCGAAACGCATAATTAAAAAAATGAAAAAAAAAAAAAAAAAAAAAAGCGAGAATTAGCATAAAAAGAAGAGAAACATTTGTTCATACATTGTAAATTTGAAAAGCCTTTCCAACGCTAACGGTAACGAACGTTTCGGTGCCAAGTCGCTGAACCGAAAAAGGAACGCTGCTCGTTATGTATCCAATAGCTCTATACGGCTCAAATATCCCCATCCTCTTCTTCAATCAGAAACCTTCAACTAAACAGCCTTCAGCCAGGAAACAAAAAGACAAAGAAAGCGCGGGTTTAGGGTTTAGTAAAAAATATACTGACTACACCGTAACAAAAACAACTCGGCGGTGGCGATTGCTGCCTAGCTCGACGGAGCTCGCGTGGCGGTGACTTCCGGCGTTGCTTGCAACGGTGGCGAAGGGCCGTGGAGCTGGAGTTGTTCAGAGGAGCTTCAAGAGAGCGGCGGGGAATTTGTTTTTAAATACGCCCTTTGGCCTTCTAGCTTCGTTATTTTGAAAGTAACCTAGTTTTAGATTTTTTCCAAAATAGTCCTTCCGGACCTAGTTATTACAAAAATGCCTAGTTTTAGATAATTCCTGGAAACTAATCACAATAACCTTATTTGAAGGACCATTTTAAAAGTTAACCAAAATCTTTCTCCCGTAAGCTATTCAATTCCATATGGACAATTTTGCCCCTCTAATACAACTTGCTAGATAATGCTAGACAATGTATAATCAAGTCACATGATTAGTGTGTGTTTAATGTATGTTTAGTGTGTTTGGTACCTCAAAATTGTGGTAAACACACACTGGATGGAGTCAACATCTATATATGTTAATCAAGGCGAGTGCAATTGTGTTGAGAATATGTTTTAAGAAGTCGTGGAATAAGGGTAATTTTGTCATTCTATACTATGAATGATTAAACTAGGTTATTTTGAGAAAATAACTTTTCTTAAATTTTAAATTAGTCCCTCAAATATGGCTATTTCCATGAGTTTCCCATCTTTAAATTTTTAACACATTAGACATGAAGAGTTCCATTGACTACTTATTATTTTTCTATAATAAACATATATTATAAGATTTTATGAGAAAGATTTTATAAATGAATTATTATTTTGTATCACTCGATCATCTAAGATCCGATATAATAATGTGTTAATATTCTAATGTTACTCGAACCAACTCAAAACATTGATTATTACTTAGTTACCCCTCAAAACATGATTTAAGAATTTGAATAAGTGATTAGTCAAAATGCACACAAATTAGCCCTGACAGGTTGTTTAAAAAAATATTTCGATCTCGATATGATAAATCCCGTATTCGAGGTCAGCATTGAGATCAACATTTTGAGCTCATGAAATAGGAAATGACTTATTGAATGAATTTGAATTAATTTGGTTGCAGGAAATGGGTCCAAGATTGATTACAAAATATAAGAAGAAAAGTATAAATGTATTTATTTCTTCGTACAAAATTTAGTTCTATGATGGGAAATTAACTTTAGGTTTCAAATAATCTCACAAGGAGATGCATCTCTCATCTGGTAGATTGAACTTTAATTCCCACTAGTACAAATATGGGCATGGGGCCAATTGGCCTAGGGTTCAATTTACACGAAAATTTGTGTCTAGGGTAAATTTCAACATTGGAAAATTTGGATTTCCAAATTGTTAAGATTGATTTTATTCTATAACAATATAAATGTATTTGAAATGTTCGAAAAAACAATAATGATTTTTTTTTTTTTGTGAACAAGAGTGTTAAATCAGCTTACATGCACCTGACTAATTCTCGAAGCTTAAAGTTAACGAACGAGTAAACTCTCTAATGGTCATCTTGATTAGCAACCAAGGACCCTCCAGTGATCACTTCTATTAGCAATCGAGAGGAATCGAATTCAGAGCTCTGAGTAATATATAAAAAAAATCCCATTGCCCCACCGATCACTAGGGGTAGTTTTTTTTTTTTTAATTTCTTTACAACATGGTCGAGGAGAATTGATTTATATTTCTTAATTAAAAAAAAAAATTCTAACACACTAATAATAATTTTATTATTATTTAAAAAAATTGTTGAAAGTTTGAAAACAATCTCCACTTTATGCTTGCAAATGGTCAAACTCCCAACCATATGAAGTATCCACTCATTTTCTCTTTAACTTTCTGCATTTTCTAACAATTTCTCACCAACCAAACAACCCAACAAAATCATAAATTAAGAATTAAACCTTAAGTGGTCAAGGTATACATTGCTTGAGGGTTCGGTCAAACGTCAAAGGATCAAGCTCCCCAAACCTAGCCTTAGCTTAAATTAGACGTCAAACAATCTAAAAATTCCAAACTTTACAATCTCGATCTCACCTTTTTGATCCGGATTAGTCCATTCCCTACATTAGTTTCATTGGCACTGCCTAATGTCATATGAAATTATAACAAAATATAATATATATATATATATATATATATAATATATATATTCACTTGTAATGACATTTTATGGATAACATGATAAAAGATTATTAAATAGAAAGATTTGATTGGATAGACGTACGATAAATAGTAGTTTTTATAATTATTGTTGCGCAAAATGCCAAAATTGAAATGATATCAAAGGGCCAACTTCCAGGAAGGCGAGCCGAAGACCAAACGAGTAAACCCGTAGCCTTTGTTTATTATCATCTATATTGGTTGGTTGATTGTTTAAGAAAATTTCATTTTCACTCCTGATCAAGCTTTACTACATTTTATACTTCAGAAATTAACAATATTTCCCCTTTTTACATTACATTTATGTAATATTCTAATTTTGGAATATCGAGATTAATATTAGTTATAAAATTAAGAAGGCGAGGTATTATTACAAACCTAAACCAAAATCTATAATAATCTCATCATTTTTTGTTAAAATTTGGTAGCAAAATGAAAATAAAAAACTAGATTTATATTTTCGAAATTTGAAAACGCATTCCATGTTATTTTTAGAAATAATAGAAGTATGAAACATTGTAACAGTATTAAAGGGATAATGAAAACATATAAATCATGCTTTTTACGTTGTTTATTCTAATATTTAATTACGGTTTCAATTTAAAAAACCGTACATTTTTACACAAGTTTTGACACATCTATTGAATCATAAAAAACGCTTTTAGAATTGGAGATGGCATTAAGTTATGACATTTCTAATATGTATTAATTATACCATTGTTGATTTTGTCATAATATACCTAAAAAAACAAAGAGGGATGTCCATGAACCTATTAATTATATATATGATTATATATTTTTTTCTATTTAAAAATTGAAATAACAAGTAAACAAGTATTATACATTACACTTAACATGATAAAAAATAGAAAAAAAAAGCAATACTAACCACGTGGGTTATTATTGTTATTTTTGAAACAATAGGACATATGTGATTTGCCCTTGACAGAGAGAGTAACTCGACCTAAAAGAGAGATACGGACAACTTAAAGTAGATAGCAGCAACTAGCCAATAACATGAAGCCAAACCATTTCCTACAACAAACCGACTTTTCAAAGTCTCCGGGCCTTTAAATATGGTCACATCTCTCTTTCTCTATCTTGTTAGAGCTGGTTAAGTTTCCTATTCACTTCATCAACAATGAGTTCAATGCTCTTTTCTTGCATCCAAGTAGAGAAAGGAGGGTTCTTTTTTCCTTTGCCACTTGGTGAGAATTCAGCTTCAAGCAGGTTAGTTTTCTTTTCTGTGTCTTGTGGTTTTGTTATAAAGGTGAAACTTTTACTGGGTTCATGAGAATGTAGTTGGCTTCATGATTAGAGCTTTTGAAGAGCTGAAAATTGCTGTTTTTTTGTTGAATACGTTGTGTTTTTCAGTAAATGATCAGTTCAAAGCTCTGTACTTGCAGCCAATTATAGAGAATAAAGGTTCTTTTCTCTATTTCCACTTGCTGAGAACTCAGCTTCAAGCATGTTAGTTTTATTGTCTGTGTCTTTTGGTTTTGTATTATAAAGGTAAACCGTAACTGGGTTCATGAGAATGTGGTTGGTATCATGAATCAGAGCTTTTAAAGAGCTCAAAACTGCTTTATGTTGTGGAAACTACTTTGTGTTTTCATCGAATGAGTTCAAGTCTTTAATCAGCAAATTATGAGAAAAAAAAGGGGTTCTTTTCCGTTGTCACTTGTTGAGAATTAGCTTCAAGAAGGTTAGTTTTCTTGTTTGGGTCTTGTAGTTGTGTATATGGATTTAAATTGTAACTGAGTCATGAGAATGTGGTTGGTGTCATGAATTAAAGCTTTTAAAGAGCTCAAAACCGCTGTTTGTTGTGGAAGAAGTACTTTTGTTTTCATTAAATGAATTCCAAGCTCTTTATTGCAGCAATTATAGAGAGCAAAGGGTTCTTTTCTTCAAGATCACTTGCTGAGAACTCAACTTCAAGAAGGTAAGGTAGTTTTGGAGTATGTCTTGTAGTTGTGTGCATAGGTAAAACTTTTAACTGGGTATATGCGAATGTGGTTGGTTTATGAATCAGAATTTTTAAAGAGCTCAAAACTGTGTTGTTTCAGAAGTGCTTCTAGTACTTGATGCCCTTGTTAAAAGCCCTTTTCATACCTTCTTAACAGAGTTCATAAAGAGAGAAAATTTGCAAGATTTTGACTTGTCTTTTAGAAATGAATGATGAAATTTGTTTAAACAACTCTAGCACAAAGGTTTGAACTTGATTGTATTATTTATTGTTACTATTAATGAACAAAATTTAAGAATGTCAAATGCAATTAGAGGATGTGAGCTGAGGTGCCCACAAAAAGCAAATAATTTGGTGAAAGAGAAGTGTTGAATTAAGTCCTAAAATTCTGCAAATTTGTGCTATCTTTCCAATATATTTTTAAGTACTAGGACTGAGATTAAGGTGGCACCTCTTCAATTGTAGTCTAAAGTAAAATTCCCTGTTGTAGATTAGCGTAATAAAAAATGGACTGCTTTTCACCTTGAAAGTGCTCTTCTTGCCATCATAGTACATAGAATTCAAGCTTTCTACATGGTTATGACATTGGAGTTTTTGGGATTTTTATTTTGGTGGATTGGATTTTAGTTTATTGATATTCTTTTGCAGGTCAAGAAATGGCTGGTTATGAGAAAGATGATTTACCAATGCTGTCAGATTCCGTTTATCCATTGAAAATGTGGATTCTCGGCTTAATGTCTTTGCCTCCAGGACCAGGAGTGCATCACTTTCTGTTCCTATGGACTCCACAGAGTCTATGAACCTCAACCTAATCTGTGGCCATACTGGTCCTCTACGGATGAGAGAAGAACACCATTTTACAGATGAGTGGCCCTTTATATATAGCCGTAATCGGGAAAACAATTTCCGACTGACTCAAGGTGTTACAAGTATTCAAATGCAGAACGAACGATAGAAACATATCCTTCTTTTAGTGGAATGGAACAAAAGATTGGTTTGAAGATAGGTATGCA